GTAAATACAGAAAATATTCTCTTTTTCATTCGATTTATAACATTGTTCGTCTGAATGATCACCTTATGGTTTAACACAGCAACTCTTCTCTAATCACTTATTAATGTGTCGTATGATTCTATCAACAACAGAAAATGCTGAGAAAGAGAAGCAGAAAAATCAGCAGAAAATCTAATGACGTTCCATACATAGACAAAACCAAACTTGACTCAGTAAACAAAATGTGTGTGTATATGTATATGGTTGGTCGCGTGTTTATTGCATTGATATATTTGTATGAGAATATTACACGTACATGAGTATAAACATTTTGATTCGTACCCAACTTCATGCCATCTCTTCTAGGCACTGTCACTTTTTATGTTGTGAGTAATCCTACCGCTTTCAAGTAAGGTTCTGTGCAACGCTTTTCATTCAGCCTGAAAATCAACGGAAAATTAGCCTGTATTGGTAAATAACAATATAAGATTTACAATTATTGATTAAATACGATTGATTCAAATAATTATTCTGTCATGATAAATGCATACAAATCAAAGAATATCAAAATCAAAAACCATATGGGCGGTGCATTTGTATAAGAGTGACTTCGCAATGAACTCATATATGATTTAACAAAAATTATTAATATTTTATTTTTTACATCTTCTGGTTTAGTTGAAAACTAAACATTAGTCAAAATGGATCAAATTATTCAACAACAACTTGCAAGTGCTGCAGCTGAAATTGAAACACAATTGGATGATCAGATTAATGCAATGGATTCGATGACATCCGATGAATTGAAGTCACTGCGAAATCAACGACTCAACGAAATGAAAAATGAAGCAAAGAAAAAGCAAGAATGGCTAAACAATGGTCATGGTGAATACGATGAATTGTCTGGTGAAAAAGAATTTTTTGAAATATCGAAAAAATCTGCCAACATAATCGCTCATTTCTACCGTGATGCAACCGAAAGGTGTAAAATTGTCGATCATCATTTGAAAATTCTTTCGAAAAAGCATATTGAGGCAAAATTCTGCAAGGTCAACGCAGAAAATAGCCCATTTTTAACACAACGATTACGTATCAAGGTGATACCAACCATCGCCATTATTAAAGACAGTAAAACAAAAGACTACATTGTCGGTTTCACTGATCTAGGCAATCGCGATGATTTTACAACGGAAATGATGGAATGGAGAATAGCTCAATCAGGAGCCATTGAATATAGTGTAAGTAATTTGAATAGTTGAATTTATCATAATGAGTGTTTCTATCATGTTTTTTTTTTCTTTATTTAAAGGGTGATTTATTAACGCCGCCAGATCAAGCGCGCAAAGATAAGAAGAATTTGCTTCGACAAAAGAAGAAAATCCGTGGAAAAGATGAGTCTGACGATTCAGATATCGAATTCAGCGATTAAATAATAATAATGCATGCAATTGAGTGACCTTTATTTTTCACCGAATAACCTATTCCAAATTCGATTATTTCCAAATCTTAAATACTCGTTGGAAACATTGTTTTCTGATTCGTGATGTGTTTTTTGTCTATTTTTGCTGCTCGCATTTCATGTTGAAGTTTGCTTTGATTCTATCAGAATGTAGTCTGCTTTATTAATTCATACAGTATTTTTCATATATGAAATGTATTCACATTGCTAAGGTGCGATTTAAATGATTTTATATGCAACAACACAAATACATTTTTATCACAAATAAAATTATCCAAATGGTTTACACCTCGAAATATTTTCAAATCAAATAAAAAACCAACATTCAAAAACCTATTTACTATTTTATGAACGTATTTTTATTTAGAGAATGTGTTGCGTGGTTTTTGTGTAAAATAGGAAGGAAATTTTTTTTTACTGTCTATATTTGACAAATAATTTTAATCACCTACACACACGGACGCGTACATATAACATATATTGTTTACATTCAAAAAATGTTGACATTTCATCCAGTTGCAAGTCGAAATCCAGACAAAGGAAAACCCACCAAAAGTGTAAAGTGGTACTCAGCTAATGCTCATACATGTTGTCTTTGATCCAGTTTATGTTGTCACCAACAGGAAAGTACTTATTGTAAATCGCCCAATCAAATAAGTGATCCTCATTAAATTGTTTCGTTTTATTAGGCGCAAATTCATACTATGTAAGAAATAAAGAAGATCAAATTAATAATCAAAAATTTCGTTCATAGTTTTTCAGTTACTCGGAGGTGATAGTAGCTTCCGACTCCAACCAGCATAACTTTACCAGTGCTCTTATCCATGATAGGCGCACCTACGAAATTATATAAAATTACGATTAAAATTGTGTGTTGATCAACAGCTAGCTTGTTGGGTTGAATACTAATATTATATAAAGTGACAAAAAAGATTTTTTAATTTTGGTTACATTTATTGCTTCTAATATCATGATGCCTACACCTTTTGCCACTTGCAGAATACTTACCCATATCGGAAATGGCTGGTTGGACACTCGAGGGCGGCGAGAACATATTTACACAAATAGTTCTGAACTTTTCTAATGGAGCTATACAATCAACATAATTTACATGCCCGTACTTTAAAATAGTGTGGTGCTATTATTACAGAAACAAAACCAAAAAACAAAATATTTTTCATCAAAAATGAGTTCTCAACAAATGTCATTTTAATAATATTTATACATACTTTAGGTACTTCTTTGAACGCTTTATCAATATCAGCACCCCAGCCAGCAATAAATCCCTGATATTGGTTCTGCATGGTTCTTTGTTTTACAGGCACTTTCGACATTTCAATGACAGTGACTTTATCTGACAATGGAATGCTTTTTGTATGTATAATCCCCAAGTCAAGTATTGTATGTTTGAACGTTTTAATTGCGTCCATTTGGACATAGCTCTCGTGCCAAACAGTGCTTTCAATTTGTATCTCAACGCCACCAACATCAACGTTGACTCGTCCAACGTATACTTTGCAATGTGGTGGATATTGACAAGCTGAAGCGCAAAGTGCATTCGTCAATATGTCATATTTTGAAATGATCGAACCGGCGCAAATTGGCATAAATATTCCCATATGCGGATGAAGCACTTTTATCAATGCGATGTAGGGTATATCTCCGATCTTTGCATCTTTTGCTTCACCATTAAATTCAATTATAGCTTCCGTTAGCT